TTAAAGACAATGGAACTGAGTCCTCAAATCACATTGTTGAATTATAGTAACTCATGTTACACATTTGGATCTACAATCAATACCCTTGTTACCAGCAGTCAGGAGATCAGGGGATGTATTGGGACATATGTCAGGGACATATTCAAATTACTGGGGAGCAATGATGTTGGTTTGAAGACTAAAGAGACCTGATTTAGGTCATGGTCTTTTCCCTCACTTGCTATGCACCTGAGAACTGGACAGTGAATAAAATGACAGAGAAGGATTGATTCTTTTGCACTGTGCTGTTGGAGAAGAGCACTGACCATCCCATGGACTGCCAAAAGAACAAACAGCTATGTCTCAGAAAAAGTGAAGCCAGAGTGCTCTTTGGAGGCAAAGATGACAACACTACATCTCACATACTTTGGGCATGTTGCTAAGAGAGTCTACTCCTTAAAGAGGGACATCATACTTGGAAAGGTGGAGGGTTAACAAAAGAGAGGAAGACCCCTAAAGATGACCTGACACAGTGACTGCAGTAATGGGCTCAAGTGTATCGGAAATTATGAGGGTAGCACAAGCTAGGACAGGGCTCAGGTCTATTGTCCATAGGGTTGCTATGATAGGTACACAAGTTGATGACACCTAACAATAACACCTTATGCACGATTGTTGAGGCCTCTTTGATGCTGGACGTGAGTGTGTGTCCATGATGGTGCTGTGGCTGATGTCCTTGGCAGGGATGTGTTTTGTCATAGCAGAATTCGGGACCTGGACTGCTTGGGTTCCCAGGAGCCATGGTGCTGTGATGCTTACCTTTTCAAAGGGGCCCTCCTTCAGGTGAGACACCTGCTCGCTGACTTGGGGATCAGAGCGAGGCACATAGCATGGCAGGGAAACTAATTCGAGCTGCTGCTCCAGCATGTTTTGCACAGTGTGATGAAGGATGTTCCTGATTTGGAACCTTTGATTTTTTCCCCCCCTTCTCTAAATTGTCAGTGTTTCCATAATCGGCCACCTGGGAAGTGCCAATTAGCCTGGCTTTTCTCTTTTGGAGTCTTCCATCTCCGGGCACAGGTTGTAAATGTAGGTGGACCCTGCTTCCATGCACAGGGGAGGGAGGCACACAGCATGTGCTGCTCTGGGCAATGTCTTTGAGGAACAAAAGTCTCAGTAGGCTGTGCCTGTGCCATGCCCTGCAGGGGTTTACTCTGCTCTGAATGCAGTGAGGAAGGTAAGCCTGCCACCTCCCAGCCGCTGCTTCCTGTATCATCTGCTCATCACTCTGAGCTCTCTCAGCTAATGCTTGCTAATGCTCTACCTCAGGGCAAGGCCAGTTTCTCCTGGGCTTTGTTCCCAGGCCCTGCACTCTGCCCATCCAGAACTCATTCCTTCTCCTTGGTATGCCCTTTGTCTTTGGATAGACTGGGACACAACGGAAGCAATGGAAGAAAAGGCTGAGTAGTAAGGACGAGACAGCATGTGGCAAGAGACCTATCTGCAGGAGAGAAGTTGAAAGCAGGGTCAGTTTGGGATGTGAGAGTAGAGTCTTATCAAGTAGGGCTCTGGGGCAGAGCAGAGTGTCCTGAAGAACTAACTTGCCAAGCAGAGCTGAAGGTTGAAGGT